TTTGAACAGTGCAGCCGCTTTGTCGCGGGTAGCGTTGGGCCTTCCACGATTACGCTCTCTAATGCATGCTGGATCATCTTGTTTTAAGAGAATACAGGTTGACTCCTCCTCATCCATTCAATAACAACTTGGTGGATTGAATGGTGATTCCCGCAATGCCATCTTGGGCAAAAACATCGAGGCTGCACCAAATCCTCTTGCGATATTCTACCACGAAGTATGAATGGTCCCCGTCCCTATCGACATCTCAGACTACTCGAGTACCTTGCCCAGCGATACAGTAATCTCCAGATAGGGACGGACAGCTCTGCAATACGCTGCCATATTGGGCAACGATGAGGGAGCTGACCACACTCTTCTATGTCTACCTCTAATCTGGTCTATCCTATCTAGGCCTTCATTATGAACCCCACCGCAAAAGCTTCGGGCAGTCGAAGGGAAAAATAGACGAGCCGGTGATATTGCTGGTCGCATCCCTTCTCGATCGCCGGAGCGAATTTCAATACGACGTGTCTGCAGTGTGGAACGGCGCTGATACTAGCCTCGGCACATCCTCTTCTACGAGCTTGACACGCTCTCCCACATCCTATGTAGAGCTGCTTCTCACGTATGACGCAGGGATAGATGTGTGGAATTACGACGGACGTCGGGCGCTCTTGTATGCCGTTTTACTGTTGACGTGCTCTTAGCCCATGCAGCCGACGTCGAAGCAGAAGTCAAATTCGCCTTGCTCAGAAGATAATTTCGCTCCGCGAGCCCCAGTGTGTTGTCAGGGATGTTGGAGAGAATTCCTGAACTAAGGTTAAGCTACGTATGCATCGCATGCGTCTTTATCCCAGCTATTCTCTAGAGATGGCATTAGGGCTCGTACCTCTGAGTCCAGGCCGAAATCTTCCAGAGCCTCGTGATTGTCTATCCAGGACATTTCAAATTCTTCGACTAATAATTGGTTCGCGCTTGTCAACTTTTCGCCAGGAAACGCCATTATCATTTCAAAAAAAGAAGTCGCTGCTATGACCTGCCCTTCTCCCTGCGTCATTTGTCGTTCCTGCCTCCATCTCCATCAGTCGTGATGTATTCATGACTCTGCCGCACCCTCCTGAGAGAAGCATTGGCCAGATGCCGGAGTAGTCTCATGACTCTGCCGCACCCTCCTGAGAGAAGCATTGGCCAGATGCCGGAGTAGTCTGGGATTCTGTCTGAGCATCACCGTCTGGGATCATCCTACGCTTGGTGTCAAGATTGATCTTCAACTCACATGTTTTTCCCTGGAGTAGCAAAGGTACGCCTAAGCTATTACAGCTGTACGCACGGAGACGAACTCCGTTCGAATATAAAATTTTGAGTTGTGCTGGTCTTTGCGACATCGCCTTCTTTGGTCTTTTTTAGCCTTTTGCTGATACAGAAAAAGAGAAAGGAAAAGCCATGAACTTATTACTTTTGCCTGAAGAGTCTTCTAGTACTCCTCTTGAAGCTCCAGGCTGTGTGGCTCAGATGTGTGGTTTGGAGCTGAGCATCCAGGACCACCTAGGTCCAAGCTATCGAATGAAGCCGATACTAATTCCGGTGCCTCCACACCTGATCTACCAGTGGCAGACAGAAATACTGAGCATCACAAAGAAGTTATCTCTGCATGTCTATTACGGAGAAATTCGAAGCTGCAAGAACAACAAGGCAGATCGAGGGCAAAGTTACACGCGGACACAAGATCTTCACAAAACAAGAGAATCCGAAAGCACTCGAGTGGAAAGAAGCAATCCGCCAATCAATCCTCGTCGGGCCTCCCCACAGCGCATGCGGTGCAGCGTCTGTTCAATGAGCATGGTTCTCTCCCAAACAGAGAAGAATCAAGAGAAAATTCGTGCGCAAAACACTAGCCAGATACCAAGAAACTCGGAAAAAGAGCACCGTCTTTCGCGCGGGCGTGGGATCGCAGCATGCCAGGATCATCTATGCGCGCATGGACCAGTACCACCCAGTTATCGGATTATCGAATCTTCTACAAGATTGAGCAAAGGTCAACTACGGCTACTCTTTTTCCCATGATCGTGCTTCGAGCCGAATGACATGGAATGGGAAGGCGATGTTGGAAATAGGGCGGAGAAGAGTCGGCGAATTGCAAGACTTTGCTATGCAGGGCGCTACTAGTACATGGGATGAAGATGATTTCCAAGAAAACTACTTTCAATACTGAAGCGACTAGAGCTCAGCTATTTGAGCATGTAGTTCGCTACCTGGCAAAAGACTCAATCGCTAGCTGATTGCCGTGCTCCCTCACAAAGAGGATATAGAGAATGACGTGCAACATTGTCTAGTACTCTGACGGTAAAAGCTGGCGGCTGGAAGCTTGAAGATGGTCCTGGAACCAGTTCAGGAAGCAGAAAGTGAAGCCAAAATCGAAGAAAGACAACTCTGGTTTCAAGGCGGAAGAGCTCTTCCGAATCTACGACAATCTACTCGATGTCACGGCGGCCAGTCCCCACAGAAGCAATGACAAGAAGAATCATAACGCGAAGCATGTCATCCTCGCCCTGCCACACCACCGCTCACCCTTGCGGTGAAGAAAGGCATGACTGGAAATGCACGAAGCGCTAACAGACCGGATCTATATTGCTATGTGTCAGCATTGCCGTCTTTAAAGTACATCCTTGTTTTCGAATCGAATGCTATTAAGAAATATACTCGTAGTCTCCTTCCTACTCTTCAGTCTGCCGAGTCTGAGCAATGAGCCAGCTTGCTGTTCTCTTCTGCTCCCGATATCGCGTCCGCACTCGGCAGATATGCTCGCTGTGCAACGAATCCACGCAAGACGCACATGTACGGTCTTCCCACTTGGCGCAGAGATCTGCGTCAAACAGAGCACTCAGACGAGAAGGTCCTTTGCCCAAGCTGTTTGTGACTCTGCTTAAACAAATTCTTTTGCCTGAAGAGGCTCTACACTTTAGCAGAGAAGGGGAGTAAGTTCCGAAAGTACAGAAACAAGAAGAAGGGGAAGAGCAAGAGGGTTGACATCCGCCAACCAGACGATCAGCCAAGTTGTTCGTCTTGTCTAACCTCAACTACCTGTCCTCAACGAGCCTAGAACTTGGGCTCCCACTCGTCTTCCGTCTTTCAAGCCCCATCTTCTATCATACCCTAGCTTACTCTCTATCCGAGAAACAGATACTTGACTCATATAATCAAGAGCGAGACCTGTTCGAAGCAAGCCAGCCTGTGATCTCCTACAGATGCCCACTGAATCTCTCGGACAAATCGAGCTCTCATCTCATAGAGCCACACCTTTGTCCCTGAACGGCGATAACTTCGCACTGACAGATCAGCCTACAAAAATCGTGTTCTTGTACAACAAAAAGTTGCAGACGTAGGTTATAGACTGAGGTCCTAAAACAGCAAACAAGCAAGCCCAAGGACGTTTAACCATGGCCGAACACATTTGCGTCGGCAACAGCGTCGACACGACTATCGACATCACTTCTCTCCTGCAAATTATGCCTAATTTCTTTTGTGCTTTTGCTTGCTACCCCGGCCAGAGATGCCTACCCCGACCCGATGATCGTCACGCACGAACAATGGCTCAACTACACTGGGTTGGACGATTAGGCACGCCCCGTATGATGTTCCAGATGTGAAGCAGGGGGTTCGTTTGATGCCCCGAAAGAAAATCCATTGCAAATAAGCAACCAGCGACGGGGGTTTTGACGATGTGCCCCGTTCGCTTGCAGCATCGCATCAGTTCACGCTCTTTTCTAGGCACCGGGTTCGGTGCACGCCTCTTAGGGCTCCTGTGTGACCTACCCGAGCCCCTGGTCAAATGCACTTCCGAATAACTTGAGAATCCCCGTTACCGTAGCGCAACAGTGGTAGCATGTCACGCTCCGAATGAGCAAGTCAGCCGTACACATGCTTGCGAAGACAGAAGACCACTGGTCTCCGACACCACCCCGACACCGGTGCGCCGCGGAAGTTGGAACAAAGAGCCATTCAGTCGGTGTGCCGAGAACTACCCAGCGCCGGAAGGGAATAGTCACTGCTCGTTTTCTGAAGGAATGAACCAGAAAGCACATAGCCTGGTCAACCGTCCGACCCGATCCCATTCCAGCAATGACAACCATGCATCTTGTCATGACCATTCCACAGGAGCGATGATAATCAATGCCTACTGAGGAGGAGGCGCGAGAACCTAGATCAGGCCTTTTTCTATTTCCATCAAATATCTCACGCTTTGTACTGCGTGCGTTGCCTGCTTGATAACATCACATTTCCCATCATTCCATTGGTACACGAATACCGACATCCGTGCGAGTATTAGGTCGATTCCTTCATTTTGGTGGGACGAGCCAGGGCTCGGAGGCCTCAACAGTCTAGTATGACAATGCCTAGGTGAAGACCCGAAACTCTGCAAGAGAGCGGGGGACTCATCGCTTCAGTCGATGTTGTTAGCTAACCGAGTTCAAGCAGATCCAAGCCCAGTCCTGCAGCCCGACCGCTCCTGCAAATGCCTTCACAAGTTCTAGAGAGATACGGCTCCCCCTACGCCAGTCGATGCTTGCCCTGAGCTACTGGCTGCTATCAGTTTCTCGGTGCCATTAAGCTTAGCATTAAATCAGTAGGATGGGAATCAATCAGAGCAGCATGGTGGAGAATGTCAGTCTGACAATTGGTATTTGCGGTGTCTGGAGTCGAGCCATACCTTCAATTCTCGATCCGCGCATACCTGACTTTTCTCGCATAGTGCGCCGGCCCGCAATATTACTCGTGCTCTTTCCCCTCATCAGAGAATACTGTATAGTACATTCTATACCAAACAATGATCAACCGGTTACGTTTCCTCGTCAGCATCATTCCTTAGACCAGTACATCCACCTTCTTAAGCACACTAAGCACATCACTAACGTCGCCGCCTTGAATGCTGTCCATCCTCAATCAGTTGTTCGTGCTGCAAGAATCCGTCACTGCAGACAGTAACCGACCTCCAAAATCCGCTTCAATCCCCACCGATAATTCCAGCCTGCCGGCATACGAGCACGACGTCACTCTCAAGGGAATCGGGTCTTCAATCCTACATACGACATCGCAGGAGATCGCAACGACAACAACCACCCTGGCACCAACCTGTAACTGAGTCTCGCCCATACCTCAAGACCCATGCCCATGTTATGCAGCCCATCGAGCTCGCAGATCAACCAGTGCCACCACCACAACCACCTCCTCCTCCTCCTCCTCCTCGTCGAAGCAGATACATAGCGCCGGCATCCCATCATCCCACCAACAAGAACCACCAAGTAAACAATCCCCACGATCCATATCACAACACCCACAGAAAAAGCAATACGCCACAAAAATGGACGGTGGTAGGGCATCCTTGCTGCCTGAGGCGTCCAGAAGAGTGGGGCTATAATTTGAGGGTCGAGGGCTACTGTACAACAACCGCCGCGGTGGTGTAGCGGTCTTTACATTGCAGAGCCCCCGTACTAGCCTTGTGCTAGCGGTGTGGAGTGCAGATTCTGGTCGAGTCCCAGTCACGGCACAGAATACGAGCAGCTATAACATACTAAAATGTCGCTCGCGGTGGGCTTTGACATACTCATATTGAGACACGATTAGGGTAGATATAGATGTAAAGTATATGGACAAGAATGAGAATAGAAATAAATCACCACGCTGTGTCAATGTGCTTTGCTTTTCCGATTCCGCGTTACCCTGAAGCCAAGCCCAACGCCATATTGTGAGACACGTATGCACGCCAAAGAGATGAGGACTCATGAGAAGGAGGAATGTCAAGGTATGTAGAAGCTTGGGAGGCGGGATGGAGGAGGATGAAAGAGGGGGAGGGAAAGAAATGGGGCACCCGCGGTGCCTGGGGTATCTCAAGCAAGAAAGTAAGGCAGATCATATAGAAATGCTCACAAAACTCCGCCAGGTAGATTGATTTGAGCTTGTCGCCCTTCGAAACCAGCACTATTCGGGGCTGACCCGCTACCGGTGGGATACATGTTGTTCTCCAGTGGATGGACTTGTTTCCGCAGCATGAACATCGGCTTCCGTCCTTCGTTTTGAAGTTGCTTGAACAAGATCAACGGCTTCTCCTCTAACCCGAGACATCGTTCCTGGTCACCATATACGATATACAGTGCGTATTGCTTCCAGTCCGCGTTGATGTTGTACTTCTTCAGAGCGGCGGGGAGGACTTTATGGCAGGGGTCATCCAACGATACTCGGAAAGACTTGAAGATCTCCACGCTCGGGGGGTCCCCAGTCGCTCGAGAATCTGACCGTGTCGGGATGTCAGGGCGCGTGGCTTGCGTCGGGGTAGGATTCAAGCGGTCCGAGCGGGATTGCGTCGGAGGCGTGTCGTCGTGGTGGTTGTGGGAGGCGTGGTTGATGCTGGCCGAACTAGGCTGGGAGTAGGCCCGTGAGGCCAGAGTCTGTGTGTGAAGGTTGCCTGGGGAGGTCGGCGACGGGATTCCTGGCGATAGCTGGGCCTTTCCGTTCATCATAGCCATGTGGGATGAGTTCGCCGTGGACGGATCCAACCCACCGCCGTCACCATACATGCGTCCCTCGTGAATGGAAGGTGGGATATAAGTGGGTGAGCTGGTTTTGGGGGTAGTCCCGCCGGTGTGTCCTCTCTTGGAGAATGTTCTCGAGAGAATCGACCCCGAGCGATCCAGGAGCGTGATTCCAGAGGGAGAGGTGAGATTGGGGGGCTCGTGATAGGTTTCTGTTGCAGTTGCGGGTACCGCCGATGGGGGTGGCAGCGGTTGCGATCGATCCTTGGCCATCTTGAAGACAGGTAGGAGTTCCTCGCGCAACCGGCGGTAGTCGTCTGCCATGCGCCGCAACTCTGCCTCCACGGTGACTATGCGTTCGTCCCGCAATCGGATGGACTGAATCAAACGAGCGACATCGTCTTGTGTGGCACCTTCGTTCATACTTTGGTCGGCAGCTATGCAATCGGACGTCAGCAAACTATTCCAGTATCCAGTCCGGGGATAGACGTACAGAGTGGAATGTAGTGATCGGCGTCCAGCGGAATATCTTGCTTGACCTTGGTCTCGTAGACGCTCTTGAGGATGGTCAACCGGTGCCCCACACTAGCAATACCCATCTCTTTCAGTTCATCGTGTTTGAGTGCGATAAGCGCTTCGCCAACGATTTCGTTCTCTGTAGGATCAAAAAGTCAGAACGGATGAGCATCGACCGCGCCAGGATATCGTTGAAGCACTCACCTAAAAAGGCCGCGCAGTACTGACGCAGACCCAAAGCGGCAACAAAATGTGCGCACTCTTCGGCCGTCCATTCTGTGATGATTGTCTTAGGCGAGCGGGGGTTATCGTCGAAATTGGCCAGGGTGGTCGGGGTATGTTCGGCGGAGGGAAACTCGGACTCGGAGGGGGAGGCTTCCGAATCGGTGGCTAGGTGAGGTGAGGTAATGACACTGCGTTCGTACTCGTCGTCTGCATCGGAATCGGCGTGATAGGAGGTGTGGAGAGACATGGTGGATAAGGGTCAATGACCGGCAACGACGCCCAGCACGAAGAGGGAGATGGGTTGGACGTCGGACCGGCTGGAGGGGAGGGGGGGGGGGGTACGACAGCGCGAGGGGGAGTGGGGGGGGGGGGGGGGGGGATACGACAGCGCGAGGTGTAGCACGAGCGAAGTTGGGATGGAGGGTGCACGATCGAAAGGTATCAGACTGTCTCGAATGGAATCTGGGCGAACAATGGAGGAACTCTCAATAGCGCCGGTGATGAGTTTCAGGATTCGAGGTTCCGGGTCGGAAAGCGGCTCGTGTCAGATACGGCGGGGGTGGTTGGAGATGGCTGGGATGAGATGTGGGGGATAGACAGGAGACAGCCGTTGACGACGGTAGAAGTCAAATCCTCGAGGCGAAAGAAGAAACCGGCGAGTTGTGGATGATGGCCGTGATTGCGAGGAGTGGAGTGGAGATCCTGAGGCCAACAAGACTAATGATCACAGGCATGCAGCGAGAGCGGGGAAGCTGGGGGGGGGAAGAGGGAAGAGATCGGAAATGTGATGACGGCCACGGTGGAGGTAATGAAGGTGGAGGAGAAAGAGGAAGTTAGAAGACCAAACGAGAACTCTCTTTACTGTGATGAAGAAATAATAAAAAGGAAGCAGAAGTAGAGAAGAAGGAAGAGCAGGTCAGTTGAAAGTGAGAAGAGGAGCGGCAGCGCAGCAGCAGCAGCAGCAGCAGCAGCAAGCAGCAAGCAGCGAGGCAGCTGGTTGGGCGCGGAGTAGCGAACGAACCGCCGAAAGGGCAAAAGAGGCGCTTCGATGCTTGGATCGCCGCACGTGATCTCCCGCGGTCTGGACCGGACACTGACTGGATGATTAGGTGGGAGAACAAACCCTCCATATACTAAGTACTATCTACCTAGTATCTGCCATCTGATCCATCGCACACAACATGCAATCAATGCAATGAGGATATTCCCACTGGGGCAATATCACCGTTATCCTCCCCTGAAAATATCACTCATTAGTCTATAGTCTATCCTCGATCATCTACCATCAAGACGATCCATACTATCGGATCCTTGATAACGTCCCCCCTTTCCCGAGTCCATCCACCACTACCACCACTACCACCACCACATACCGACTCAACTATCCATACGATCCATATCAACCCCCAATATTCCGATTCCGATATAGAACTAGTCTCGACGCCAAGCCCACCAATGTCTCTTCTCCCCTGGATTATGGGGAAGACTAGCGAGGGAACTATTTCGATCCCAAGGTCGGACTAACCGAGGGAACGAGCCCAAGCCCAAAGCTCCTCCCACCGTCACTGTCAAAAATCCAATAGTGCCGGAGCCTTGACGTTTTTGGGGAACTGGGGCCTTTGCAGTGGCTCTCCGCCGCCAACATTGTGCCATGGCGCTTTTTTGTGACTTATTTTTGTCGCTTTTTATCGCATTTTTTTTAAAGTTATTAACGCGCGCCCTCGTTAACTGACTGAATTATTGGCTACTATAGATTCTGACCATGTTGGCCAATGGTGTTTTCGAGGTGTCTTTGCCAGCCCTATATCAACCGGAACGATATTAATCAATAGTTAACGGGTGCCTCCATTCCCCCCTTTTCTGGGTCTGCGTCTGAGGACCTCGGAGTCGAGGGCTTGCTGGAGGGGCCGAGGGAAATAAACTCCTTCTAGAAGGTACGATCTGGTCTGCTCTGCTCGTATTGATTCTCATCTCTAAAACGGATTATCATTCTCTAAGACAAAATCTTGGTAGAATGTGATTGTAGCTGTAATCCACAATGCCCGGCTACATTCGGGTCGCCGCCACGCTGCTGCACCTATGACCCTAGGAACCCAAAGTCCAGGCAGAAACATTGTACAGAAGTACCGTAGCCATCATGCAAGGTGATCGAACTTTTTTTCGATCTCCATTCCGGATCGACTTTTTAGAGGTACCAGCCCGGATGGGTCAACGTCAACGTCAACGGTCACTGCACTCAAGCACCCGGACTGGGCTCCATACTCTGGCGAGTATCGCACCGACAGGGGTGGAAAAAACCCCAACCCATTGAATCTCCACTTTAATCTATGTGTACTCCGTCGAGTGCCTGACATCCTGAGTAACTAGACTAGAGCACGTATTGACATCCGAGAAAAGTCCTTGCCACGGAGTCCATCCCGAGCAGGCCCTCCCTCCCACGTCCTCGTCGGAAACGAACCCACTGGACATTCCCCCGACCGGAACATACTGCATCAACCGATGCGGATATCTGCACGGGAGTTAACTGTACTGCACAGTACATACATCCACCTTGCCACGGGATCAGCCTCCAGCTACTAACTACATAATACCTTCTGGCAAGCCAAGCAAGGGGACCTACGGTTGAGGTCACACAAGCGTCTAAGCAAAAAGATTACACGAACATGTGGTGTGGCCCACTGGCCTGCCCCCTCCCCAAGCCATCGCGGCACGCTGCCTGCGCAGCCCCGATCAAATCGTCTGGCGGCGTTCAGCATGGAATGACCACGATCAGTGTTATCGATCGGTAGGCTTTCTTGGGAGAGTGGGGCTCTCGCCTGCAAGCCCATGACTGTGGTACGTAAGGTAGAGTGTAAGGTTGCGGTGTACAGTGTCTCCGGCGCAAGGATTGCATCGTGGTCTTGTTGCCTCCGGCCGGCGGCTGGCGCTACCGGGGGGGATGGCGGCGATGTGCTATTATTATCGCATTGCGGTACCCTGAAGCAAAGCGTTGGGCAGGGTATGGCCGGGTTGGGGGGTGCGTGGAGCGGTGCAGGGTTTGATTGTTCGACTGTTGATGGTTTTGCGATGTTGTGTGTTGAGTCTGCCCGTTGAAGACTAGTGGGTTGTAACACCGAGGATAATCAACAATAGGGATGCAGAATAGACACCGGCTGCGGGATATATTCTATAGACAGAATGCTTGATCAATCAAGTGGGTCTATTGACTCAGCTACCAGCAGAAACTCTACATATGCAACACAGTCATCCTCTGTATTCAGCACTCTGCTATCTAATTGCGTCGCGCCTGTCTTAATGGAAGTACCATTCAAGCAAAGACGCAAGCGCTGGGATCGATAAGTGCATCGGCGGGTAACTTTTGAGGAGGGAGAGGATGTGATGTGATCGGATCTGATCCGCCGGCTTCTCCGCTCGCTCGAGGATCCAGCCCGCCCATCTCCTCCGCCCGCCCGCCGCCGCCCGCAGTTTCCCCCCTCCGACCTCAACCTTTGTACGGAGTACTGTACGGTAGATTTGCAGTGTCCAGCACTCGAACCCTCAACCATTACCACGACACCACGACACACATATACCCTGCTGCAACAGTACAGTCAATCCACCCCAGCTACAACACACCACCCCCAGGGATAACAAACCTACACCTCCTCCCTCGAGCGCCACCACCTGAACCATCACCACCACCGCAGAAAACCCCCCTCACAATCTCCAACAACCTCAACCTCAACCTCAACCCACGAATAGCCCACACAACCCCCACGAATAGCCCACACAACCCTCCCGCAAACCACAACCCTCGCAAAAGAAAAAAAAAATGACAACGCCCTCCCGCCCCGACCAAACCTCCAACGACCTTGAAACCGACCTCCTAACGCACCTAACCACCACGCCGGCCCTCGACGACCTGCACAGCACGCTCCTCGCGGCCCTGCAACGCACCGGCTGGACCGAGAAGATCCGGCGGCTGGCCCAGGAACTCCTGCGGGGGGGACGGTGCGAGCGGTTCGACGAGGTGATCGAGGCGGTGGTCGCGTCCGCCGAGGGACGACGGCATCCGTCGCTCCACTCGCCCAGCAGAACCAATACCAACGGGGCAGCGGGCATCAAGAATGAAGATGAGGATGCCTCGGATCACGCTGCGAATGGGCGGAAGGACGCCAGCGGCAGCGGCGATAATGCAGCGTACTTTGAAACTGTGGATGTGCGGATCCCCTCCGCCGTCGTGGAGCAGGGCGTCCGCGCCCTCAAGGAGGTTCTGCGCGAGGTGGTGATCCTCGAGGGGGATGGGGATGGGGTGGGGGATGCGGGTCACACGGCCGGGGAGGGTGGGGACAAGGACAAGGAGAGGGAAAAGGAGCAGACTACCACGACCACGAAAACGCCCGGCCACAAAGATCGGGTCAAGGGGGTCAAGCATGGGGAGAGTAATGGGGCCGGGGCCAGTGGGAGTCCCGTCAAGAAAGGGGAGAAGAAGATGAAGCTGAAGCAGGGGAAATGAGGGAGTCTGCTCTGCTGGCTTCTCTTCTGTCTGTCTTGATATTTGATAAATACGCGGGTGTTGGTGTTGGTGTTGGTGTTGGGAGACATTTCGTCTGGCGTTTGGATGGGTTCGGGACCTCCCCCGGTGTTTACAGTGGGCATTGCATTTTCTAGATACCAAATTCGACTACTTCGTTCCTTACACCTTAGTTTCTACTACCGAAACACATCGTAGCAACTTCTTGGCTATTAGATGATCAGAACTATCTTAGCACCCAGAATAATAAGAAATGGCCACAAAAGTACTTGTCAACCAACGTGATTTAGTCGAGGCTCACCCCGCTGATCTAACTAAGTGCGCATGAAACAAAGCATGAAAGGATACAGTTTAGTCATAGAGGCTGTCATCATTGCCGGCTTCGCCAAAAGTGTTGTTGTCCGCCACCTCACCCGAGGAAGGGAAGCGGAAGAAGGTGCTGCCGCCAGAGTTCTTCAAGCTCTGCGCGAAAGCCTCGTAGCGGCGGATCTCCACATCGCTAACCGACTTTCTGGCCGACTTCATCGCCTCCTCGAAGTGGGCGCGGGTCAGCTCCGGCACGGGGTCCTCCTCCTCAAGCTCCTCGTCCTCCATCTTGACGTCCTCACCCTGGGCCTCGCGCTGCTTCTGGCGATCGATGTCCGCGCTGATCGACTGCTTGATGGCAAGCTTGACAGCACGCTGAGTGACGAAGCCAAGATCGGCACCGGAGAAGCCGTGAGTCTTGCTGGCGATGAAGGAGATGTCGACATCAGGAGCAACGGGCGTCTTGCGCAGCTGGGCCTTGAGAATGCTCTCACGCGAGGCCTGGTCGGGCAGGGGAACGTAGACCAGAGTATCCAGACGACCCGGACGGACCAGGGCAGCGTCCAGCTGCTCGGGTCTATTCGTAGCACCGATGACGAAGACGTTCTTCTTGGAGGTCATACCATCCATTTCTGGAACAGTCAGCTAAGCAAAGGCAAGCAAAGGCGAAAGAACTTACCGGTCAGGAGCTGGTTAACAACACGGTCGGAAGCACCACCAGCATCGCCGACGGAGCCACCACGGGACTTGGCAATGGAATCCAACTCATCAAGGAAGACGACGCAAGGGGCGGCGGCACGAGCCTTGTCGAAGATGTCACGGATGTTGCTCTCGGACTCACCGAACCACATGCTCAGCAACTCAGGCCCCTTGACGGAGATAAAGTTGGCAGCGCACTCGTTGGCCACGGCCTTGGCCAGCATGGTCTTACCAGTACCAGGGGGGCCGTAGAACAGCACACCGCGGGAAGGAGAAAGACCGAACTTCTGGAACTTCTCGGGGTGGTCGACAGGGTACTGGACGCTCTCGATAAGCTCGCGCTTGACCTCCTCGAGACCACCAATGTCCTCCCAACGAACGTTGGGAACCTCGACGACGGCAACCTCGCGCAGAGCGGAGGGGTTGGAGACACCAAGGGCGTAACGGAAGTTCTCCATGGTGACACCAAGAGAGTCAAGGACCTCAGCGTCGATGGTATCCTCATCCAAGTCAATCAGGTCCATCTTCTCACGGATCTGCTGCATGGCGGCCTCAGAGCAGAGCGAAGCAAGATCGGAACCGACGTAACCGTGGGTCTCGGCAGCGATCGTCTCCAGATCGACATCGTCACCCAGCTTCATGTTCTTGGTGTGGATCGACAGGATCTCGAGACGGCCGGTGGGGTCGGGGATACCGATGTCGACCTCACGATCGAAACGACCGAAACGACGAAGGGCAGGGTCGATGGAGTTGGGGCGGTTGGTGGCGGCCATGACAACGACGTTGGAGCGGGCCTTCATACCGTCCATGAGGGTGAGGAGCTGGGAGACAACACGGCGCTCGACTTCTCCGTTGGTCTTCTCACGCTTGGGGGCGATGGAATCGATTTCATCAATGAAGATGATGGCGGGGGAGTTCTTCTCGGCCTCCTCGAAAGCCTTACGCAGGTTCGACTCGGACTCACCGGCCATCTTGGACATGATCTCGGGTCCGTTGATCAGGAAGAAGAAGGCACCGGTCTCGTTGGCAACAGCACGAGCCATCAGAGTCTTACCAGTACCGGGAGGGCCGTACATCAGGATACCACGAGGGGGCTTGATACCGATGGACTTGAAGAGCTGGGGGTGACGCAGGGGCAATTCGACCAACTCGCGGATCTGAGCCATCTGCTTGCGGCAGCCACCAATGTCATCATAACCGACCTCGTTGAGGTTGCCCTCCTCATCCTCACGCTGGATGGGCTCGCCCTCGCAGTGGATGATCGTGTCCTGAGCCACAATACCGTACTCCGGGGGATCAACCTCAACCACCTTGAACTCCACCTGTCTCATACCGCCTCGTACTGTGAACAGATCTCCCTGTCGGACGGGTCTGTAGGCTTCGCGGAAGTAGGGGGCAAGGTAGACGTCGAAGAGGGAGCCGGTCAGGCCCTCGACGGTGTCGGCAATGGGAAGGACGGCAATACGCTTGGCCTATAACACAAAGAAACCGCGGTTAGTCACCAACCACCGCATGCTCTCCTTGGGGCTGGACTCACATATTTGATGTCGGGGCAAGGGTGGACGGTGATCATGTCGCCGTGCTTGACACGGAGGTTGTGTCTGACGACACGGTTGATGCGAGCGCTGCCGTCATCGAGATCATCATCCGCCAAGACAATCAGAACAGTGTCCTTGCGCTTCTTGCCCTTGACCAGAACGGTATCACCGCGGAAGAGCTGGAGGGTCTCCATCGTGTTGTTGGAGAGGGCAATAACGGAGTTGTCATCGTTGACGGCATCAGTAACACTGTTGACACGCACACGTCAGTATCGCCGCCCCCGCTCCACAGAACAAATGACGCAGGCAAACTCACATCAGAGAGTTGGGCTTCTTCTTCTTCTTGAGGATAGCAGTCGAGGTGTCAAGCTCCTAACAACGAGTTCAAGTCAATATCACCAACAAGGTCCCTGCGGAGTCGGAAGGCAAAGTCTTTACCTCTTTCTTCTCGGCGCCCGAGGGGTCACTATGATGTATTAGCATGCGGGGCAAGACTAAAAATCTTCATCGATGGGACCTACTTGAGGTTGACCCTCTTCTTCTCGTGGGTGTGGTCTGGCTCTGCGCTCATCTTGATGGAGTGTGCAGAAAGGCGCGTGCGTAAAGCAACGTAGTCAGTCGGAAAGGTAGCAAGGACTGTTGCCGTCCCGGATTAGGTGAGCTCGGAAACAGGCACGGAGGGCAGTGAAGATAAGGAAAGGAAGAAAGGGAAAGAGATCTCAACAGACAGCAGGAAATGTCTGAGAGATGGCGCAATTTGGGGGGGGGGGAGAGATGTAAAAGTGATAGAGCAGAATAGATGGGTAAGTGGGTGGAGAGGGAGGGAGATGGGAAGTGAGATTGAGTGAAGAGCTCCAGGTTGTTAAGAGGTGACGATAGCGCCAGGACCTGTTCGGGAACTGCACTGATGACTTAAGCTGTTTGCAGAGCCACCCAAAGACACCCACCGCCTTCCGCCTTCCGCCACCGCCTGGGGGGGAGAAGAACCGCATGGAAGCCAGTCGTATCCACAATGATCATCCGCCTCTGGCCCTTCGTTGCTTTTGGGTGCTTGATAAGCCCGGGGAAGCTCTTCGAACTAGCGAACTAGCGATCTGAAGACTGGCTAGTGTTTGAAGCGGTCGATCTGGTCTTTTCTTTTGGCTTTGACATTGACATTCAGGTGTCATGGAGCTGCCGTGTCGATGCCTCAGGCAATAAGAAGACGTGGCCTTAGGCATCATGGCGATTGATCACCAAGATAGCCTCTGGTCAAAGCTAAACAAGCTGATTTCCATCTAGTGGCAAAGCAAGAACACTCCTCATTGATTGCTTGATCTGACTCTGTGACAAGTTGTTCTCAAGCCGTGCTCACAATTTCCTGAGAATATCATGCAGAATGATTGTTCGGAGTTCATAGCAACTCCACCAATACTTCTGCTGCCGGTAAGTTAGCAAAAGAACGAGTCATGAAATGAAGCAAGCACAAGGAAGAACAGAATCATAGCTAACGGTCTCACTAGCCCTCTTGTCAATAAGGCCTTATGACTGTTTTCCAAGTCCAGTGCGTGACGGAGTCACGTGGTCCGGTGAATGTATCAGCCCAGCGCTCCAGTATAGCATCAAGAAGGACTTCACCGGCGCACGCACACAGTGAGAGCGCTGCCTACAGCCATGCGGGTCTATCTCAGCGTCGCCGACTAAGCGACGACATCATAGGTACTCATAGTGTCTCATCTGGTAACACGATGGCTCTTCATCCAACTTCACATCCTCACCTTCCTTCATCCCACCGACTTTCCCCAGTATCTTTGTATCTCTATCCCTATCTCTGAAACCCTGTTCCTGCGCATGAGCAACCCAACATGAGCCGTCGACCCAGCACCGTCCGCAACATGGAATGTCTCCACTGGTACCCGGACAATTACAAAGTGGCCTATCACAACCAGCTGAACATAGCCCAGCTGCACCAGCTCCTGGCGGACGAGGACCAGCACGTCTTCTTCGTCTACGGCTGCCTCAAGCTGCCCACTGTGCTGCGCGCCTACTGCGACCAGCCGGACAGTCTCCAGTTCGCCCGTCGGATGCAGCCGGCCCGCGCGGTGGGGTACCGACTGTACGAGCGGACCCCCAACGGCGAGCCGATCATGGTGTTCACCGGACAGGATGACGACATCGTCGAGGGCATGGTGGTGTTTGCGATTGACCACGAGGACGCGGTCGCCATGGTGCGCGGTGAGAACAGCGGGATGGACGCCTGTCTGATCGAGATCGAGGCGGTCATCATCGAAGAAGGCTCCGGCGTGGCCGACCGCTGGGTCGAGGTGACCTACGCTCTGATCGTGTCCGCCTTGGTCTGGACCGGCAGCTTGGAGGGGATGCACTGGAAGGGGGTCACCGACTGGCCCGTCGACATGTTCCTGCGCTCGTCGTATTACGACAGTTTCGTAAGTTGGCCGTTGATTCCCTGTGGTGCGATTCTTGCTGATCTCGGTGGGCTACAGAGACGTCCCGGCGAGCTTGTCTCGGAGGAGACCATCGACCCGCTGTTCCGCCTTTAGACTCAAACTCCGGGCTTTCGTGTGCCGCTATCAGGTGCAACTTCATTGATGCGTGCATGACTCCTGGTCTGAGACGGAGTCTTTCCGAGAGAACTTCCGCATCTTTTAGTTAACATTTCTATCTCCGGTCTGCGACCCATCTCTTATCCCAGTGTGACTTTGCATGGCGTTTGATACTCATTTACGATACGATGACGACTTGATGCGCACTCACGATGTGATGACACTTCCGATGATGATAACGACATTGGCACGACCTGACGACTGCTGATTCTTAGCGACACATGATTCTTATCACAGGACACGACATGACGGGCATTCAGGAGTTTTCAAGGTTGCTTGCACTTTTTTTCCTTTGTCTCATGATCTATCCGCTTTCGAGGCCACAAGAACCGAGCATCTAGCTCTAGCTGGAAATTGGATTTGGTATTTGGTGTGTTAGCTTGGATCCTGTATTTAGGCATCTAGCATGACCAACTCAATGAATACGCATATCCATGACTTCTATGGTCTAATCCGTAGCAAAGCGAGAAGAGAACGTGTAAGACTCTACCCCGACCATCTAGACTCAGATTACTTAGTAGCAGTACCCCCCCACGAATCCCAAACCTCCCACGCGCCCGCCATAAAACTCACCAACCCGGTCAACTGCTCCGGGAACCCAATCCCCTTCTCGAAGCACCAATGCAAGCACAACGGCGCCCAACACACATTGTTCACGAGACTCTTCCGCCACGCGCGGATCTCCTTTGCATGTGCATGTGCATCTGCATCCGCTGCCCCTCCCCCCTCATCGAGTCCCTCCTTCTGCTTCTCCCGCCGCAACCGAAGCCTCCGCTCCCGCGCCAGCACAAAGAACTGCAAGAAGATATGCCCGAACCACGCGCGCGTGCTCCACAGATCCCACTGCACGATGCCGCCCCACCGGTCGATGAAGCGGCGGCTCAGGATGCCCTTCGCGGCGAGGTAGCTTCCGTTCTCGAGGATTTGGTAGATGATATTGACCAAAACCTGGAGGAGGGTCAGGATGTAGAGTGTTCGGTCTTTGGGCGGGGAGCGCAGGGTTGCGGTGCCCCAGGTCCAGAGGGGGAGGAGGCCGAGGAGGCGCAGGGTGTATCGGGTTTCGGACATGAGGGCGGAGAGGGCTAGTAATGGGGGTTTCGGGTTGGGGGTTGTGGGAGAGGGTGGTGGTGGTAGAGGGGAGCCAAGTTTGGAGGGCGAGGGTTGGGCGAGATGGCGCTGCTGGCGGCGGAGTCGGGCGAGGAGGCTTAGGCGGGTTTGGAGGGCGAGCCAGGGCGCTGAGGCGAGGAGATGGTGCAGCGCGTGCGAGAGGTAGCCTGTTACGGCGAGGACGCGTTCGGTGCCGGCTGCTGTGGTGGTGAGTCTGTGGTCGTTAGTAGACTGTACGGTTGGGGAGTGGTGGTGGTGGTGGTGGTGGTGGTGGAGCGTGGCTTGTGTTCTGGGGAGGAGGGACGTACTTGTCCAGTCGCTCGATGGTGGTATCGGTTGCTCGAAGGGCTGCCAGCAGCTGACGACGAGCATGGAGGAGAGAGGAAGCTGAGTGTGGTGTTGGTTTGGGCTGTGGTGGTGGTGAGGATCCCCGCGTTGGATCTGAGGTCGGCGATTTCCCCTCATCTTGTGGTGGTGATGATGATGATGATGGTGCGCGCTCATTCGGAGCTGGCTCAGTTCTAACGTCGGGGTCTGCCATAGTGTCTGCTGTATCCTGCGTCACTCATTGCAAGCAGACACCACGAAACTCGGACGGGCGGATTGGGACTATATAGACCAGGCGGTCATCTGCATCTGATCAGCCGTCGGTGCTTGGCGCGCGTGCCGAGGTTCGGAATTGGCTCGGAATGGGAAGGTCGATGGAGTTGAACCGCGGGTCATTTTGTGATGGAGGTTGATGAGATTAGATAACTATCCTGCCTGCCCCATTCAGTTACTACACTCGGATGGACCTTACCAGATAGTGGTTTAGTTCGCTAATTGATACACTACTGTTGACCTTTCCTTTACTTCAATATCTTATTACTATCACCATGTAGCTCTGGCGACAACACCTGCGGGTCATTTCATTCAATTCTCACTAAATTTTCCGTAGATCTCCAAGTACTCTTACAGCACAACATGTGAAATGTTACCCGACCACACCTCCCCCCCCCCCACTTCAACACCGAGCTCAACGTCCCAGCAACAGCATGACAAACCAATTCAGCGACCACGGCACAGTAGTGGAGACAGTTTCCCTGTAGCTCACCTCACCTCATGGAGAAGTCACTTCAGGCACTCTTCACCCATCACGGTATCAAGATTGGGTCCACAAAATCCGACTCATGCGAGCCAACTGAGTCCTCCGAGTCACTATTTCCCTGGTAGCAATCGTCCCCCTTGTCAACATGCTCCAGTTTCCCCTTGCCCTTACCCTTATCCTCATTTGCCTCTTCCTGAGCTTTCTCCTCCTCGCTGACTTCCTCCTCACTCATCTCGTCCTCACTCGTCTCTCCCCCAATCGTGGCCCCCTCCTCCCCCTCAACTCCCTCCACCCAATCCCCCACCTCCTGAACCACAGGCATAACATCCTCCCAGACATGAAGCCCCGAATTAATGCAGCGCTCCCGCTCCACCATCTGCCCAAACCGGAACAGCTCGCGCTCCTCTCTGACCTCATCGGGGTCCGCAGCCATGAGGTACCCGGGGGCCATGGGGAAGGGACAGGGGCCGCGCGGGCCGCGCGGGCAGAGCAGGGGCTGCACGTTCCTGTAACGCTGCCACAAGAACCGCCCATATCGCTTCGCACGGAGTCTCGTACGCATTTCCATCCCGATATTTCGCCAGGCGGAGGAAGCTTCAGCGGAATAATCCACGGGTGAGGGCGTCAGGCTGCGTCCGAGGGGTTCGAGGATGGTCTGCAATCTGGCGCGCGCGCGCTGCAGTCGGTTGGCCGGGGGTGGGTAGAATTCTCTGTTCGCGGGGTGGGAGGAGGGCGCGTGGACTTGGCTGGTAGTGGCTGTGACTGGATATGAGGGGGGGCCGGTGGTGGATGAGGAGAGGGCGTGGTTGGGGGTGGATGGTGGCGGGGGTAGATTGTGGGTGGAATGTGATGGATTGTTGTTTCCGGCCAACGGGTAAGTGGGGAGAATGGATGTAGTTCGGTTGTCGGGGTCCTTTGTGGATGAAGAGGTGTACGTACTAGTAGCTTGGGAAGCTGACCTGGACGCATCACCGGTCGATGTCGACATGTATGACGGGAGATCCACGGTCGACCGGGACGCAGGGCTTGTCACTCTCGAGGCAGAAGAGGAGCCCTGAGAGGTTGATCCGGTGGCTGCGGTTGTGAGGTAAGACGATAAGCGTGCGACGCCACGATAGCTCGTCACGGCATGTTGTGCGGATTGCGACTCGCCTCCATAGTATCGGGGCACCGGGGGAGGAGCGGGGGATGGGTTGGGTCGCTGTCCTAGGTTGGAGACAAACACAGCGTTCACGACCACTCGCTCGCTCAAGTTGTAGGCATCCGGGATCGGGAATTCGGGTCTACATACTGCGTTGATGCTTGCCCATGCCCGTTCCATGTGTGCAGGTACGCAACGATGGCAGGCCCGCCACTTGCAGGGTGGGATAGGCCGCAGTGGGGGAGCGGAAGTGTCAGAGTTTCCAACCTGGGTGGGAAGAGTGCTTTGAGGAGTGGAGTCTGACCTGCGACGGGCATTGTACTGAATATCCTCGATATGCTTCACTCGCCCGGCCTCATCGTTGTCATGATCGCCATGTCCCGGTCCCTGCTGCACGCCCGCCGCCTGGGTAGTGGATGAAGCACTGTTAGCATCCGAGCTACAGCTCTTCTGCACATCTTCAATCATCTGAACATGAGGCCCATCGTCATCGGAATCGGTGTTCTGCTCCTCCTCCGCCCTGTGCATCTGAAAGAAGACGGGGACTCCAGACAAACGCAGGTTGTAAGCGACTCTCTCCTCGTACGCCCGACGGAAGACAGTTAGCTTCTGCTCGAGGAGCTGTTCCTTCTGCGCATCGGTGTACTTCCCAGCCTTGATGGCGGCGACCATCCATGGACTCTGCACCTCACCGTCTCTGGTACCATTGGGGTCCCCGAAGCCGGGCTCGTCCACGGCACACTGATAGAGCCAGCCGAGCGCCGGTCTGCGCCCGCAACGGTCACACACTTCGTGCGGATCCACGAGGGGCACCCGCTCCATTCGGCCATGCTTGCACGAGCGTAGCCCCCACGGACGATCGTCTTCCACGGCCCGGTTCACCGGCCCATAGAATATCGGGTCCCGGTGCCGGTCGACACGCGCGAGGAGGACTCGGGCGATCGCTCTTCGATCGACGCCGTTGGCGCGACTGTGGCTGCCCGCGGTGGATGGGAGTTCGGCTCTCGCGGTGCTGTGGGTTGCGGGGCTGGGCGAAGGAACTGAGTCTCGTTCGAACAACGGCTTTGCTGTTCCTCTGATAGAGCTGGATGTTTCGTCAGTCTGGATGTGGCCGCTTGTTGTAGGCGGTAGAAGTTTGGTGTGGACGGGACAGTACCTTGACGACAAAGAACGAGGACAACCTGTGACACGCTCTGCAAAGTGCAAGCTTGTCTCGAAGTCACGGCCAGTCCATGGTCGCTGAGTTTGGAGAGGGTCGGTCTCTTCAAGCTCGGACGGCTCAGCGGCGGAGACATGGGTGTGCTCTGCGGCTTGTTGTTCGGGGCTATGCTCGATGACTCTCTCAGCGCTACCCACGCGGTTGGACTCAACAGATTCAACTTCTTCTACCGAGACATGGAGCTCAGACTCTTGATCATGTCGAGTATCTGCGGGATGAGATGGATTATGGCCAGATAGTGCTGCCGGGATCTCTGGAGAGGTGTCCATGTTGGCCGAGGAGTCCGGCTTTTCATTGGACTTGCTCGCAGAAAGGTTTTCCATTTCTGTTGTGCGAAAACGTGATAGAAGGCCTTACAGGATGGAGGAGACGTGTAAACCGCCTCTATCAGACTGGATAGCCAACTGGAGTATATCTATTCCGTGATATGGGAACGCTAGATAGCAAAGAACAAGAAGCACGGGTGTATGAACACGGAGGGGAGACAGGAAGCAGAGAACAGGATTCAACAAAATCGCCAGCTAGAACACGCTCGTGTTCACCAGTGAACGCAACGTTGCGTCCGGGCAGGTGGGAATCGTCGGGGGCGACCATTTGTTTTGTTGGGATGGGCCTAATGTCGCCCTGGCTGACCTGAGCGCAAAGGAGAGAGTGCAAGCACCCAGAGAAGCGCAGCCTGAGAAGGAGTTTACATAGTTGCAGAAAGCCCTAGTTCTCCGATGGACGAAACACAGTACTACAGTGGTAGACTGCACTTGACCAATGCACTGGCTATCGATTTTAAAATACAAAGAAGATGTACTGAATTCTTCTCTAGAAAACCTTTGGCATTGGACTTAGTTACATTTACCTATATGTCTGTTAGCAAATGAGCCTGAGTTTCTTGCACGACGGGTTCGAGGGGTTGACGTACAGATATAGTATCTAGGAGCAAGACAGCTCTGCCGGTGGTAGTTATCACCTCCAGTCAACATCCGAACTGCTGTACTTACCCGAAATAGGCTGGGTTTTCCGAGCTCATCCTGCTGTTACTGCACCTGAGAGGTCTGACGAAGACCGTGCAAGATTCAAGATGCTTCTCCAGCCATTTTTCTGGCTGCAACGAAGCTGAAGATGAACAGAACATCTTCATTGCATATGTTGAGTAGATACAGAACGGCAGTTAGTGTTGTGGTTGAGTAACCACGGGAGTTACTGAGTCGGAGGTGACCGAAGGACAGCGGCGGAATCCCTACCGAGCTGAGCTGATCTTAGTTAACTTACCGTACTGTACCTTACCTACTCAAACAGGTATAAAGTTGACGCGAGGTCCATCTGCCGACCTCGTGGCCGGTTTGACCTTCCCAGTTCCCACTGAGACTCTCTCTCCTCTTCCGATTTCGCCCTCTCCTCGCCTCGCCTCGCCCTCGCCCTCGTCCTCTTCTAGCTTGAAGCTGACTTGTTTTTAATTGTTGTCTTTTCGCTGCTTTCCCTTAAGAATTCGGGTTTTCTTCTACCTCCACTACTTCATTTTCCCCGCGGGTGTTTCCACTGTGACCGTACAAGCAATTGACAGGCGTGTGCTGGTTCCAATCGATTGGAGTTGTAACCTCGGTAAGCACTGATGATTACCAGCCCTTGAACCATCCATCGGCTTCCAGCCTCCTCGTCTTTCCCTCTTCCTCCTCCTCCTCCTCCTCCTCCATCTCCACTTCAGCCGATAAACAAACCCACCCCTGGTCCGACCCTCTCTTGCGCGCGGGACGCCCATCCGACCATTTGCCTGCCGATTTCCCCCCCCCCCTCCCCCCAAGTCTGTCCCCCAACATACCCACTCACTCACCACACCTTATTCCATCCGCAACCCTCCGTTGCTTCTACTATCCATTGCAACCCTGAATGGTTTTCTTTTACTTACAGCTCCTGCGATCATTCTAGACTGTCTTCCCTACTATCTCTCCGCAATTGCCGTCACCGTCGTTATCTCGGATCTCCGATCGTTCATCTACCCACACCATCTAGATCGCGCGCTTAATCTCCTTCCCTCCATCCATCAACAGCAGCCATGTCCGCCAAATTCCAAGATGAGGCCGTCACCTCCCTGCGGAAAGACACAAAAGAATTGGTGCACAAAGTCGGCGAGCGACTGACTGGCGGGGGTTATCTCAACGTACGTTGGTCTCGGGCGTTGATACTGACAGCTTTGGCTAACTGGCTCCCTCTCGGCCGACTCTAGCTCTACCTCCGCCAACTGCAGCAAAACCCCCTGCGCACCAAGATGTTGACGTCCGGCGTGCTCTCCGGTCTGCAGGAGATCCTGGCGTCGTGGATTGCGCACGACGTCAGCAAGAACGGCCACTACCTCAGCCCGCGCGTGCCCAAGATGGTGCTGTACGGCATGTTCATCAGCGCCCCGCTGGGCCACTTCCTGATCGGCATCCTCCAGAAGGTGTTCGCTGGCCGGACGAGCCTGAAGGCTAAGGTGCTGCAGATCCTGGCCAGCAACTTGCTCGTAAGTGTCGCACGCGCTGCATGAGGGGTGTTCCACTCGCTGACTCGACCCACAGGTCTCCCCCGTCCAAAACGCCGTGTACCTGACCAGCATGGCGGTCATTGCCGGCGCGCGCACCATCCACCAGGTCCGCGCCACCGTGCGGGCGGGCTTCATGCCCGTCATGAAGGTCAGCTGGGTGACCTCGCCCATCGCGCTGGCCTTTGCGCAGAAGTTCCTGCCGGAGCACACCTGGGTGCCGTTCTTCAACATCGTCGGGTTCGTCATTGGAACCTACGTCAACACCCACACGAAGAAGAAGCGCCTCGAAGCGCTCCGGAAGGTGAGTCTCCTGTCGGGACGTGGTTGGAACAGTGCTAACCGCAAAGCAGCGTTACGACCAGCGTCGTGGGCCCGGCAGCGAGTACGACAAGGGCGACTACCGGTAAACACTGTACATATGAGATTCCAACCCCCATGACCATCGCTGGTCGATTGAGGGCAATGCGGCCAATATACCCATGACGACTGAGCCTAGCCAACGACCATCTCCCTTTCCACCTATGCCATCTATCTATACCACCCAGTCTATGCCCCCGCCCCGAATGACGTTTAATCTGTGATATGTCCCGCTCATGGCCCTGGCGTGGCGACGAGTGTCTATCCTGCTGTGATGAGCCATATTTACGTAGTATATCGCCATTTGAACGCAAATGAAACGCCATACCTTAAGCTTGTCCTCTAGCCCTGTACAGCTGGATTAGTATCCCTTATAGCCGTAATCACCCCGATCAACCACCCCCACCCTACAAAACTCCACATTAAGACGATAAGAAGTCCATTCATCTCACCATGCATATCTACCACAACCCCCCGAACCCCCCTTGTTCCCTGCCTACTACAACACCCCGCCGACAAAACTACTCAACCTCCATCTCCCCCCCGCCAGCCTTCCGCCTCTCGCGCACAAACTCCACAAACTCATCAATCAACCCCGGCCACGCCCCATCCACACTCCACCACCCCATCGCCGCATCCTCGCCCGTCTTGCGCATAAACACCTCGATCTGCTCCCACAGATCCTTGTTGACGGGCCGCCGGCCGCGCCCCTCGAGAAACTCCAGCCACCAGTCCAGCCACGGCGTGGCCGCTGACCGCCACGCCACGCCGCCGTGATCCGCCGTGAAGAACAGCCGCCACTGCTCCGCCGCGATGTCGAACTGCAAGTTCCGCTGCCCTTGCATCCGGCACAGCGGGAACGTGTACCGGTACACCCGCCGGAAGAGGTCCGGTTGGATCGGCAGCCGCGCGCGGAGCTCGGCGGCGTGCGCGGTCATTTTCGGGAGGGTGTCGGCTCTTTTTTTTTTTCCCTCGTTAGTAATGTCTTTCTTTTTATGGGTGGGGGGCAAAGGGGACGGTGGACTGGAGACTGGGGACTGGCGACTGGGGAACGGGGGAACGGGGAAAAGGGACTGGGAAAGGAACAGGGAAGGGGAAAGGGATAGGGACCGTACCCAATCGCGCGCCAACCGGTCAGAAACCCCTCGCGCGTGAATTCGCCCATCGTCGGGGATTTGACGAGCTCCGCGATGGCCAGGCACGTGACTTCGTCGAGTTGCACGGAGATGTCGCCTAGGTACCGCATTACGCCTTCGATGCCGATGGCGTCCGGGGAGTCTTCGGGCGAGTCTGGTGGAGTTAGTTTTGGGGGTGGACCGGTGGAGGGCTTTTGGGGCTGAAGGGGGGGGGCGTTACCTCGGTAGCTGTCGAAGATTTTGTTGATTGCGCTTGTGCTGGCTCCCGCGCCGGAGGGGCTTTGGAAGTATCTGTGTTTTCGGGGGTTAGTTTGATGGGTGGTCTGTAAGAAGGTTGGAGAGGTTTGGAGAGGTTTGGAGAGGGTTTCATGTGGTGCTAGGCCGGTGGTTGTTCTCCAGTGTATCATATTGGGCCTGTAGCTTGGTCACACGGCAGAAGTCGATGGGCGATGTCCACAGCAACGATGTCCACCCATGCTTGACTTGCTTTGAGTCTGTTCGCTTCTTCAGTGAAGAGCAAGCACCCGAGGCTAAGCTTTCTATCTGGCGAGGTAGACTGCTCTGGACCAGATCGTATGGCCGGCTGGCTGATGCCTTGCGCTTAACTACTGAACGACTCATGGCGAGCTGCCAAGCTACCGCCATCATGACCACTGAGTTCCACGAGCTGGTCCGCCTGAGTAGAGTCGAGAGAAAGACCGATGTACCGCAAGCCATACTGACTCTGAGAACACCAAAAGAAAAGTACCGCGGCCTAGCACCCATGAAGCCACAACCAGGCACGATGGACCCAGATCATCAATGATAATGCTGCACAAAACATCCCAGAAGCGAGAGGAAGATCGTCTCCCACAAGAAAAAGGCAGGCACCTACGTATTGATAGCTTCTTCAAGATCCCATCGTGCCGCTTTCAAGAACTATACTCATCCCAAAGCACGGGTTAGCCACACATCCCACGCACGTGATGCCCACCTTTCAGGGATCGGGGGAACCATAATCAGAGACATCGGTCGAAATTACCTTGGCAGCCGCTGTGTCCTTCGCTTGCGTGAAGTTGATAAATTGTGCTATTTGCTGCTTCTGCAGACTCGAGTAGGGCGGCATAATGATGGTGATGATGGTGGTGTCTGGTGGGGGTGGCTTGCCGGATCGAAGGTTGATGGCGGGGGAAACTCTGCGTGCGCGCGCGGAAAGCTCAGATGATTAGGATGGAGGCCATGCACGTCTGGGATTGTGTGATGGGTGTAGCAAGGTCACAGATGTCGGGGCGAGTGGACAAACATCAACTTTGCGATGGCGAACACTTCCAGCTGAGTATTGCAGTTCTTGATTTGTTCTGTTCTCGATGGGGGAGAGAGAGCGGCCGAATTGAGCGGTGGTTTCCGCTGCGCTGCCCGTGCACGTGCCCCGCATCGGATGCTGCTGGTTCGGATATCGGATCTCTCGCAGTGAAGGGGTTGATCAGGGCAGCAGCCATCGCCACTATAGTCTAGTCATTCACTTCATTCCCTATAGTTCACATAACCAATTGTGAGCACGACAGACTTATACATACAATCCGGTACATGCACTTTCTACACATCTGATATGGAGAACTACTTCAGCCAAAGCTGCAATAGTGGAATGCAGCACTACTCCAATTCTGAAGACCGGGATGATAGGCAGGATCAGATGATGCCAACAATATTACCTCATGCGTCAGACATAGTACAAGGCTAGACATCAGGATAAAGACTTTTCTAGACAAAACAACCATAAAAGGAAAACGACTCCAAAACTCCTGCGAGAATCCCAAGGTATCTATGAAAATAACCCCATGATCGATTCCGCGTATGCAACACTTTTCTCTAGGTCGTGAAAAGAGTATCTTCCTGTGCAACGGGTCAGCAGTCGGCCCGTCTCTCCCGCGGGAACGCAAGCTCACCTCTCTCAGATACTCTCCGCAATCTGCCTGACGGAAGACGACAATCGCCGTGGGCTCGAGTTTCCGTGCCTCGGCGGTGGACCGAGCCGTGACTCCGAATCCCTACATCAATGGATCAGCAACCATTGCGACCAGAGCTGGACGGGTGACGAAAGCATCCTTACCAAGGGTGTGTCGTTCTGGTCGAGCACAACCACTCCAGCATGCTCCGGGCAGTCATCGGACCATCTTCCGACGTGCGCCTTGACAACGTTTCCCTGGCAGAGGAATCAGCATGAGCTCGTAATAAAACCTGTCCAGCGGCACATCTGCGCGGCAACGCCACGAGAACTTACTCCGTACAAGAACGGGGCGACACCGTTCGGCTTGATCCAGACCTTGAACCGCGCGTGGGGGGAGATCACGTCCAGCGCAGTGATGTGGAGCTACACAAAGTCAGTCATTCGGCACCACACGGCCCACCCTTGCACCCGGTATGCCCTTACTCTCATCTTTCCGGTCTTGGTCAGCTTGCCAATCGCAGTGCCCATCGACAGCAAGCAATCGCGAGGAATGGAGGTCGCCAGGTTGGCCAGGGACAGCGGGACGTAGTAGATGCGGCTGCCGATCATGCGGAACACATAGCGGTCGTTGTCTTCGGAGCCGGCCGTGATCAGATTCGAGATGGACCGTCCACAGTAGGCACTGAGCTTCTCAAAGAGCGTCTTCGTCTCCTCTAGAGTCGCGGAGTCAGCGATTCGGTGCTCGAATGGTCTGCAACAATTGCGCTCGCTGCAGCAGAAGATTCCCCAGGCAAGACTAACCTTCAGTGAGTTGACGCATGATGAAATGTGATCGAAGTACGACACTGCGTACTCAAAGAACCAAAAATAGATACGGGACGAATTCCAAACGAAAATGTGCTTGGGGAGAGGTTATCAAAAAAAGAGCAATCTTGAAGTCAAAAAAGCTCCGCGGAAACAAAAATTCTAGGCGGTGGAACCCGACGGGGAAGGCGGTGGGAGGGACGGTACCTTTTTCACTGCCCATGTCTTGGCACCAGGAAGAGGGAAAAAAAGTTTCGGACAGTCCAATCCCGCAAAAAGATTCCCCCCCCCCCAAGGGAAAACACCAGTCACCGACATCAAAATGGCTCCTGGACGCACCACGAAACGCAGACGGGTGAGTCCCCCCGGCGACGACGAAAATGCCTCCTCGCGACCTTCTGGCGCCCCTATTGGCGACTTCTACAGCCATGCCGCTGAATGGGACCTCGAACAAGACTATGAGCGCCGACCCCGCAAATCCAGCAAGAAGGACAAGGAGCGCACCCGATTGCCCATCAAGACGGCGGAGGGCTTCCAGACCATGGAGGAGCCTGAGATCGAAGCGGAGGAGTCCGACAGCTTTCTCGGGACAGACGACGATGAGGACGAGGGGATGGACGATACGGGCGCGGACGAGGACGAGGACGACGAGGAGGAAGTGAAGGAAGAAGCGCCCAAGATCCCTCTGAAGGTGCAGATCATCCAGGCGAAGGAAGAGATCGCCAGGCTGGCTACGTTAATCAACGAAGATCCGGAGGAGCACATCCCATTGTTCAAGACGATGGCCGAGATGGTGGACCCCAGCAAGCACGTTGCTATCCAGAAGCTCGCCCTCGCCTCGCAAGCCGCAGTATACAAGGATGTCATCCCCGGGTACCGCATCCGCCCGCTCACCGACCAAGACATGACCGGCAAGATCTCCAAGGAAGTGCGCAAACTCCGCAGCTACGAGCAGTCCCTCCTCTCCAACTACAAGCATTACATCGGAAAGCTGGTCGAGATCACCAAGCCGCAAAAACGAGACGCCGCCCCCGTCGATGCGGGCCTGAAGACGATCGCGATCAACTGCGCGTGCAACCTGCTGCTTTCCGTCCCGCACTTCAACTTCCGCACCGAGTTGCTGAAGATCCTCATCAATCGGCTGGCCCGGAGACAGGTCGACGCGGATTTCGTCAAGTGCCGTGAAACTTTGGAGGATGTTTTCCAAAAGGACGAGGATGGCGTGGTGTCGCTGGAGGCCGTTCGCCTGCTCTCCAAGCTGATGAAGGCGAAGGAGTTCCGCGTCCACGAAAGTGTGCTGGACACGTTCCTCAGCCTGCGGCTGCTGTCGGAATTCGCGCACAAGGCCTCCCGGGACCGGATCGAGCGCGAGCCCGAAGAGGACAACTTCGGAGGCAAGAAGCCCAAGCAGAAACGGGAGTTCCGCACCAAGAAGGAGCGCAAGGTGCAGAAGGAGCGAAAGGCGGTCGAGAAGGACATGAAGGAGGCGGACGCGCTGGTGTCGCATGAGGAGCGCGACAAGAACCAAGCCGAGACCCTCAAGCTGGTCTTTGGCGTCTACTTCCGCATCTTGAAGCTCCGCATCCCCACCCTCATGGGCCCCGTCCTCGAGGGTCTGGCCAAATACGCCCACCTGATCAACCAGGACTTCTTCGGTGATCTGCTGGAGGCGCTGAAGGAGCTGATCGCGCACGCCGATCGCGACGAGGAAGAGAACCACGCCGAGGAGGCCGAGGACGAGGACCACAGTAACGCGCAGACCAGCACGCGGGACGCACACCGCGAAGCCTTGCTGTGCACGGTCACGGCGTTCGCGCTGCTGGAAGGGCAGGACGCCAGCAAAGCGGCGGCCAACCTGCACCTGGACCTGAGCTACTTCGTCCGGCACCTGTACCGCTCGCTGTACACGCTCTCCATCAACCCGGACGTGGAATACAACCCGGACAAGTCGCTGCGGCTGCCGGACCCAGACTCCCACGCGGCACGCCAAAGCGCCCCGCGCTCCCGCAAGAAGGTCAACTTCCAGACGCCGACCGTCCTGCTCCTCCGCTGCCTCCACTCCACGCTCATCTCGCGGGCGCACGGCAACCCGCCGCCCGTGCGCCTGGGCGGGTTCGCCAAGCGGCTGATGACCTCCTCGCTGCAGCTGCCGGAGAAGTCGGCGATCGCGACGCTCGCGCTCATGAACCAGGTGGCGCGGCACAACGCGCGCCGCATCGCCTCGCTCTGGCACAGCGAGGAGCGCCGCGGGGACGGCGTGTTCAACCCGTTCGCCGCGGACATCGAGACCACCAACGTGTTCGCGGGCACGGTGTGGGAGGGCGAGCTGCTGCGCAACCACTACTGTCCCCAGATCCGGGATGCGGCGTTGGACATCGAGAAGATGATTGTGACCAGGAATTGATTGTCTGTTGCGTATCTGTTTTCTCTCAGCGAGTGTGTAAAAATACCTTTTGATAATTCAACGGTGGATGCCAGTTGTAAGGTGTGTACTACTCCCTAAAAGGAAGGTCACCGTCTGTACGTAATGTCCATACTACTTTTGAGGCAGTAAAGTCATTTTCATTTCAGCGAAGCTATAACAATAGCTTGCATCATCCCGGTTTACATGCCATGAAACAGCAGAAGAAAAACCCGTGCATCCTCCCGAACCCCAACCCAACCCAACCATGACTTTTCCCGAACGCCTGGCAATTTCCCAATTCATCCCATCCCATCATTCATATCTCATTTTCGTCTCATCGTTCATCCAAGCAACCCATAAGATATACAACCCATAAGAAATACAACCCTCAAGAAAATACACTCCATAAGAAATACAAACCCAAGCCCACAAAAGAAAAACAAAAAGAAACCAACGGGTTTTCAATTTTCAATTTTTTTCTATTTTCTTTTGTTTGAACCTGCCACCTCCCTCAGTCAGCGAAACCGCCACGCAAGTCAAGCAAAGACCAAACCTACCCGATCAAACCACCTCATCCTCCTCCGGCACGTAGATGGAGGCATCCCGGTGCCGGGAGCCGCGCGTATACTGCACGGCCGGCGCGTCCGGCGCGGCGGGCAGCTTATCGTGGTACGCCTTGAGGTAGGGAGGCAGATCGGCGGGCAGCGGCAACGAGTCCACGCGCGGCGGGGGCGGCGGGGCGACGATCCGGGCGTAGGGGTCGTGATCGAACATCCCCGGGTAGTAGTCCGGGATGACGTCCGACTTGATGTCCGGGTCGACGAAGCCGCGGAAGGTCAGCGCGATGTCCTGGCGTTCGCGGTCGTGCCAGTCCGGGCGCGGGGGCACGTCCTGCGCGATCTCCATGCGCGTGAAGCCACCGGTGGGGGTGGGGATGTTCGTGATGTAGGTTGTGTCGCGCGCTTTGGTGGATTTGGGGTGGTGGTGTGCGTGGTGGTGGTGGTTCCGGGGGTGCGTGGGGTAGTAGGGGTAGGGGTGGTAGGGGTGGTCGGGCTGGGCTTGCGGGCGCGGGCTGTAGCCTCCTCCTCCTTCTCCTGCTGCTGCTGCTGCTGCTGCTGCTTTGCGTTCGACTCGACGGTGTTGATGTTTGTGACGATGGTCTGGACGGTGGCTGTGGGGCGGGGGAGGTGCGATGGTCTAGCCGCGGTCGTGGTAGTGGGAGTGCTGATGGCGGGTTGGACGCTGGCGCTGGGCGACGATACAGTTGCTTGTTCGTTCGTGCTCTTGATGCTCGAGCCGGCTGACGCGGTCGCCTGCTTGTTCGAGGCAGTATTGGCACTCTTGGTGCTCAGATTCGAGATGCTCTTCTTCGACAGACTCGGCATGCTCTTCTTCGACAAGCTCGAGACCACGCTCTTCTTCGACAGGGTCGACGTACTCTTCCTCGACATGAACCCCTTCACATCCTCCCGGTACTCAAAATCCAGCACCTTGGCCGCCTTGCCCAGATTCTGCTTCTGGCGGGGGTCGGGCCTGGACCGGCGCTCGGGCCCGTTCATGAAGCGGTGGTACTTCTTGGTCGCCCACTGGGAGCCGTAGTGGCGCGCGATCGGACTGTTCTCGTCGACCTCCTCGTGGCCGTACAGATCCAGATCCAGAATGTAGTGGTGGTTGCTGGGTATGCTGGGCTTGGAGGCGATCAGCTTCGCGGTCTCGGTCTTTATGACTTCCTCCCAGGGTGTAGACGGGCCGGTGGCCTCGATGGCGCGGATGAAATGGCGGTCCAACGCGGTGCGCATGTCCTCGGGAACCTGTCGGGGATCGCTGTATGGGGCTTCTGGAGACGGTTTGGCAGGAGGCTCCTTCGCGGCTGCAGGTTCGGTTTTGGTCTGGCCACCGGGGGTGTGAGGAGTGCGTGGGCGCTTTTCGTCCCCGTTCTGGCGGTGATGAGGATGCTGGACCTCTGTGCCAGTCTGGCTGGACGGATTGACATTCCTCAGATTGAGGGGATGGGGCTTGTGCTTCTGAGGTTTGTGTTCCAGCTCATAGCGAGGCTTGAGCTGAGCTTTTGTCTTTAACTCAGGAAGGGGTTCGATTGGCGCCGCTGCCTCCGCTTTCGCTTGGGTCTTGCTGGGCTTGCGCGGACGCACGTAGCCCCATACCTCTTTGAGGTCGGGGACCCTCATCGTCGCAGCTATCGCAGGGTCCAAGTTGGGGTAGTCGGCGAAGTTCACGGATTTCTTGGACCGAGTGCTCGGGGTCGACTGAGCGGTGTTGCTGGAGGGTGAGGCTTCTTGCTGAGTGGGTGAGGGGAGCTCAGGTTGATCTTTGTTAGGTGTCGATACCTCACACTCTGCAACACGGTTTCCAGAAGTGAGTGTTTGAGGATGACTGGTGGTAGACTGAACGGTGGTTGTGGGATATGTAGTGGTGGTAGGCTGAAGGGGGGTGGTGGAGGGTGAGTTTGTATCCTGGCCAGGTGAGGGAATATCAAACTGATATTTGTTCGATGTCCACACCTCGCCCGGCTTAACACGGCTCTCAGAAGTGGATTTTTCAGGACGGGTAGTAGTGGTAGAATGAAGAGGGGTGGTAAAGGGTAAGGTTGCGTCGTGGGCCGGTGAGGGAATATCAGGTTGATATCTCTTAGATGTCAACACCTCACACGGGCTAACACGGTTCTCAGACGCAGATTCCTTCGCACGCGCAATAGTGCCAGACTGCACAGTGGTGTTAGAAAGTGAAATGTTGTCGTGGGCAAGTGAGTGCAACGCAGCCTGCTCTGTATCAGGTGTCGACACCACAGCCTGCTCAACACGGCCCTCAGCAGCGCATTCACTGTTCTTCCTAGAGACAGGCGGGTCCGCTGCGGAATCCGGCGGAATTTCACTCCCACCCTGCGGCGGAACTTTCTCAGCTGCTGGGGTGGTGGGGTTTGTTGTCGCCGTGGGACTCGTCGTCGTCGTCGATGTCAACGTTGTCTGTCTGCTGCTGCTGCTGCTGAGATTGGCACGCTCCAGGTTATCCAACACGTTGGTGAGCTTCAACTCCAGCATGCCCTTCCCGCTCAGCCGTGCTCGCTGCCGCACGGAGCCTCGCTTCTGCGAACTAACAAAACTGCTTCTGACATCCTCCGGGCCCTGCAGCACTGCAGTACGAGACTCTTCCTGGATTGGGTGATGGGGACCGGCGGCCTTGAGACTCTGGATCCCCTGGGCGAGCTTGGACACCTCTTCCCGCACCAGAGCCGTCAGTCTACCTTCCATGCTCTGCACATCCTGCCGGACAGCCGCCACCTGGGACCGGATATCCTTCATCATGCGCTGGGTCTGGTTCAGCGTCTCCTCCTGGGCGATGGTCTTGGCGTTGATCAGCCGCGCGATGTCCGACATCTCGTCGACCTGCTTCGTGATCCGGTCCAGGTGCCAGTTCTTGCTGTCCTCGAACGACTTGCTCAGCCGGCTGGCCGTCTTGTCCACATGGTAGTGCAGCTCCGTGATGTGCGTCGTCAGCTTGCACTCCAGCGACGCCGTGTTCTGGTACTGGGGGTCCGGCGGCGCAGGCGCATTACCCCCGCGGCTGGTGGTCTGTATCTTGCTGCCATCGGGGACAGGTCCTCCTCCTCCATGGGGGTTATAGCTCGTCTGGATGGGGTACGGGTTCGGGTTCGGGTTCGACTTCGCGGCGGGGACGACCTCCGGCGCGCGCATCGAGGGGTCCTCCACAAGTGTCGCGTACGGATTCAGCACGCTGTATCGGGTTGGAGCCCGGCGACACTCCTTCTCCTCAGGATCAGTAAACCCTGGCGGTGGGAGTTGGATGTCTCGAAGATCCAAGTTGAACACCGACGATGCGGGACGCGAGGCGTAGATGGACGGCGAGTACGTCTGTCCCGGGTTCAGGATCGTTGGGAACTGATAGCCCTGCAACTCTTTGAGGATCGATGCGTCGTATGTCGGGTTTCTGGCACGGGGCTGCTGCGCATGATCTTTTTTCGTTGCTGACGACTCGATGTTACCGCGGGTGCTGGGCACGCCCTCGGATCCGTCGACCACAAGCGGTTTGTATTCAGACTTTGGGCATGGAGGTTGGGGGGCTGTCGATCCAGTACTGTCGCTGCAGTCGTTGACGGAGACGCTCTTTGAGCTGTCGATTGCGAGTGGCTTGTCCTCGGGCTTGTTGTCCTCGGACCGCTGGGGCTTGGTGCTCTCCGCCTTGTCGGCGTGGCGTTGTGAGATTTCTTTCGGTCCATCAGGGACGAGTGGTGTGTTTTGGATGGACTTGATGGGCTCAGTTTTCTTGACGGTAGATGTTGGTCCCCTGATGGTGGACGTCGACGAGTTGGAAGAGTGAGCGGACCCAGCTCTCGATCGACCGATGACAAGTGGTGTATATGTATACCCCGTCGACTTCCCGGGTCCCTGCTCATCAGTACCGAGCAAGCCAGACTGGTGAGCGGACACATCCGTCACCCTATCGATGACGAGCGGCTTATACTGCGCAACATTGCCGGTCTTGTGCTGCAGTCTCGGCGGCATCTGCACGCGGGGCTGCTCGCTCGCCTCGTCAACCACAAGCGGGGCCTCACACTGCTTATCACCACCAACAACAGTGTCCTGCGCAGGATCACCCACCGCCGTGCTGCTGCTATCCTCCTTACACTCCCCAGCCGACTGCGGCAGCGCCTCGGTGGAGTCATCTTCCGGGGGCGGGCCGACCCAGGTGCAGGGCTTATGGTTCTTGGGGTATTTAGGGGGCCGCCAGACGGTGGCCTCCGGATACTTGGGGTTGACGGGGATGGGCTGCTTGGGGGGCTCCGAGACGAAGATGCCGTGCTTCTTCAGCAGACCCTTTTGGATGTCCTTGCGCCAGCCCGGGTCGACCGCGTCCAGGTAGTCCTCGGCGCGGATCCAGAGCGAGGTGTCGACGGGGGGCTTGTGGCCGAGCAGGGGCAGGTCCTTGAACGAGAGCTTCGACCGCAGGGCCTGCAGGAAGGTCGGCTTCTCGTCCGGCTCCCAGTAGCTGTGCTCGGGGCCGGGGTCTCCCCTGGGGACATCCTTGGGCCGCTTGTCCTTCTTGAACCGGCGGATGGGGTCGGTGAACGATCGTTTTGTCGGCTTGGGGGTGATGATTATTTCGGGCGCGGTGAAGGAGCGTTTCGTCTTGGGCGTGGCTCCCTCGGGTTGCGTGAAGGACCGCTTCGCCTGGGGTCGCGCTGCTACCTCCGTATACGTCTGTTTCACCTGGGGGATGCTCGGCTCGTCATCATCGTCATCATCATATGCAACGCTATACACCGAAGTCGCGGGCGTCTCATCCGAGATGCCGACCCGGTTTCTGCTCCGCATGAGAGCGGCATCTATCTCAGCATAGCCACTACTTCTCACGAAGCTACCAGGTTTCCTCGACGACCCCAGAGACGAGCGCTTTGTGGAGGTGGTGGTGGTGGAAGTGGTTTCTATACGGTTGGTCGGCTGTCAGTTTGTGCATTGTGCAGCAACAAATGAACGAACGAACGTACCTTTGGAGAACCGCGTCTCGGGTCTTTGAGTTTTGTTCTCTTTCTGCAGTTGCTGCTGCACCTGCTGCAGGCGTTCTTGTTCACGGGCTGCTTTGATCGCCCACGCATTGCCGTCTAGAGGCGCCATGGACGGCGATCGCTGTGCTGGAGGCACAGATGGGCAAGGTCTAAAGGGCTGTTAGTCACTCATCGGCCAGTCCTCTTACTGTGGTGTTTGATGAAACAGACAAGACGGATGATGAACTTACGTGGGTTCGCACAAGGACGCGTCTTTATCACAACAGGGTAACAACGTTCGATTTTGCTACCTGGTTCACGCAACAGTATCCTGATGTTATGTTCTGCAGTTGACAGAGAGGACTGCTTCCCAGAGCCTAGGGACGACGATCGATCATGTTAGCATCAAGTCTTACTGTTGGGTCTGGCTGGGACAGGCTCGCGAGATAAAATATAAGAAGTGAGGATCACAAACCTTCCTCTGCCGCATCAAGCAGAAGTTGAGCCTGGAAGCGATGGATGAGTATGTGGAGGATAACTGTCTATCGCGAGAAACACCACAGTCAGTTCGTCTGTGTACGAAGGGCCTTCCGATATCGAAACACCACACAGGGAGTCAGTGTTTGGAACACCCCTCGATATTAAGATCGATACTCTTCAGTACAGGTTTGGTTCTCTCATCTTCATCTCACAAAGAACAAGTGATAGAAAGAACGACGATAACTTACCTTTCATATAGAGGAAGTGAGGTTGGATGAGGATGTGGATGTGGATGTGGATAGGATCAAGGATGCGGATAGGATCAAGGATGTGGATAGGATCAAGGATGTGGATGGTTGTTCAGGATAAGAAGTTGTTTAAACAAGAACCAGAAGAAAAGAAGACTTTTGATGGATGAAATAGAAAAAGAGGGGAGGGCGAGAAGGAGATCAAAAGCCGTGAGAGTCAAGACTGACTGAGTGAATGGATAACACAGAGTGGAGAGGAAGCCAGATGTCGCGTGTGTGGTTGACCAGGGCTGTTGTGAATAGCTTCGCCAGGATTCGACTTTACTTTCTCTACGGAGGACCCTATAACCTTGTTCCTGGGGGCGGATGATCGCGTCTTTGGGTGGCGTTTACAGCTTCATTTCTCTACATTATGGCATTAACCGGGCAGTGTAGGATATCAGGGCTTGTTGATACTGGAGCAAGCCGGTTGACACGTTCATAAACATACTTTCTTGTCTCTCTAAGGGGATAAAGAGTAGAAGTAAGAGTATCGATGATGAAGAGAAATAGAATGCAGTCTCAGATTTAGAGGACATTCAGCATAAGCTTTAAAACGCTTGCTGCAAGATCAAAGAAAACAGTCCTCTAAGAATTGCTTCGGATTCTCAGTTGAAACCTGTTATTAGGGAAAGTCAGGTTCATCGGCCTTAGTGTTATATACAGCACTATACACTTAACTACCAGTTTAACCCAGATAGCATCACACCGTGAGATCAAAATACTATAGAATGTCGAATGCTAGAACCACGGCACTGTCAGAATCTCCAGGCACACAGCATGGCTGAAGAAACTGGGCCCTTTTGTGCAGAGGAGCTGAATATAAGGGAACGCTCTATACTACCATCCTCAGTACCTCAGATTGTCCACGCACCAACCAGATTTGCCATATTGCAGATTGCAGATTCCGAAGAACCAATGCGTGACCAATCACTACCCACAGTTCCATTATTCTCCCCAGAAGACGAAGATAGAGAAAGAGTCGCCATCTATCCCCAGCAGATGCAGCAAGTCGAGCTGGTATCCTCGTTCTATCCTGAAGAAATAGCACTATGGTCTTCGACATGTGGTACTGGGTGCATTCCCGCGAGAATTCGAGAGAAACATCTGACATAGGCCACCAAAGGAAAAGAATATCCCAGGTAGTAGAGAGCAGAAACAGCTAACACCCCCCACATACTAGTTCCGAGGACAGTGGATACAGCACACTACATAATCTGGGCGATGCGTCTGCCTTCCTGAGTAGATCAATTCTGCCCTTCATATACTAACCCGCCTGGAACTCAAAGCTTGATAATCTCAAACTAGAGGCTTCTGGATGGAAGGCTATCAAATGACAAGACACTCATGAGGACTTTACAAACAAGCTATCCATCTTGCAGTACAAACAACTAACATAAACAAACTTGCACCTCCAACTACAATCCCTATTCACACGGAAGGGGATGGTTGAGAAGAGCGAGAAATCGAAGCCTAGCTTCGAATCCTGATATCACCAACCCAAGTGAGAGGAACCGTTTGACCTTCCAGATTAAACTGCACATTAGAGAAGCAAGCACTACTCAGAAAAAAGGAATGGAGAGAAAAGGGAAAGGCTACTACGCTCCTTCTCCACAAAATCCCAAAGGAGATCTAGAACTTACCGCAACATACCACCACCAGCACGAACACGGCCGACCAAACGACGAGATCATTTCTCATCCTCTCTATCTTGAACACCATGAGCAACGAGACGAGCCCTGCTATAAAGATTTCAATCCTTGGGTTCCAAGAATCCGACTCAATTAGATAGAACAAACCTCGACAACCATACAATACCCTCCCCGTCCCTATCAATGTGCCAGCTAGCTTACTTGACAGATCCGATGCTGATAGTGCCACACTTGCTGCTGCTATTACGACACCCATCCCCCCCTAAAAGTCACCTCTGACCACACTCCCTCCACCAAAACCTCAAACTCGAAAATCCAGCCCAGCCCAGCCCAGCCCAGCAACCACCAACCGAGCAAAAGATCAGAGCAAAAACAAGACTTCCCCAGAAGAAACTCCCCCCAAGAACCATCGAGCCGAATGATGTCGTTCAAGGTTGTCTCCTCGGCTTCCTTCTTGCTAGAGGGACGGAAAGGGTTCCCGTCGCTGCTACGGGATGGGATTCCCTACGAACAGTACGCTACAATAGGTATTATGCGCATTTGAGCCGGGATGGGCCAGATAACTAGATCCTTAAGAGCGCCAGATGGAGAGGAGATGAGGTTTGGAGATATGCATATTCTGCTGGGACATTTGCATCCATTCGTGCGGACGGAAGTACGAGGGTGATTAGGAACCCTAATCGTCGGCTACAAGTCATACGGAAAGACCTTTCTACTACTCGACACTGGTTGTGCAGAACCATCATGATGGGGTTTGATCATGCCCGTTCTCCGACTACTATGGTTGGATTCTTACTCCCATCTCAGTGTAAATCAATGTATCATTCTATGATATTAAGAGACACCAAGACAAACAAGTCATTGAACCAGTAATCTCATTATCATCAATCATAGGACATCATTATATGCTATGGGGTAAACAATAATCTGCGTCGGAACTGTGCACAAACTGCAAATCATAAACGGTATGCGAAAAGCCACTGCAACTGCACTGCCACGGAATCGACAGTCTCGCATTGCCATCACCATTAAACACTTCAAAAACACTCGAACAATAGCAGAGTAAAATAACACTAGAATAAACATACTCGTCCTAGAAAACCATCGAAGATATCAAATACAGGGGAATCGATTCGAGTGATAGAAATGAGCGGCGCAGGTTCGCATCAAGAAATTCGAACAACTCAGCGGGTATATGCGTGCCAAACAAATGCGAGCAAGGGGGCAGCAAAAACGGTCATCAAGAACAGACTCCTGATTCACATTAGCGTTGGCAATAAACAAACGTAAGCAGCAAAACTCTGGACAAATCTCCACTCTTCCCAAGGAAAGGGCTTCATTGAAATCAGCATCCCCAGGAGACACATCTATTGGTTGTTCCCTCCGCGACGGCGGAAGGGAGAAAAGATTGCTCCAAAGAAATTGGTAAACACAGCGCGTAAGATAGTCTTCAACCAGCTGTCATGCTTCTTATGATTCAGAGAAACAGCGGTGACTGACCGATTTTGACTCTGTGAGCGAGGGTTCTCATCGCCCTTGGTGGCCACGGCCTTGTCGGCAGCGTTCGATGACGATTCGGCGGTGGGCTCGCGGGTCGATTTGGCGGCGTCGTCACCGGCGTGCGCTGCATCAGGGTCAGTTCCGAGCTGCTTACTCGTCGCCAGAGAGCTCTTACCCTCAGTGGGCCAGGTTCCAGGCACAACGTTGACGGCCTTGTCCTTGTTCTCGGGCTGGGGTTCCTGTGATTTGGTCTCAGCAGGTGAAGCAGCCTCAGGCTCCTTGTGAGAAACCGAAGCGGCTCCAACGGCGGCAGCAGTTCCGGCAGCAACGGCGGCGGCAGCGCCGGCGGCAATGATCTCGGGTGTCAGAAGACTGTCCTTGGGGGACTCTTGCTCCGTAGCCGCCTCAGCAACAGGTTCAGAAGCGACGGAATCCTCAGGCACGATTTCTCTGCTGACTTCCTCCGACTGCAAAGAAGCCGGCTCGGCAGGAGTATCGTCCTTGACGGCGCTAGCAGCGTCGGTGACTTCCTCTTGGGCAGCCGTCTGCGTGTTGATGACACCATTGATGGGGGCTTGCACCTCCTTGCCTTCAATCTCGGCGAAAGACACACGCTCAGAAATTTGCTCCTCCTCCTGCACTTGGGGTTCCTCAGCCGCCTCGACCGGAGTAGGCTCGGGAGCAGATGCAGGTGCAACAGTCTCAGGGGTTGGCTCAGCGGCAACAGGCTCCTCGACACTTTCCGTCACGCGGGCAACATCTTTCTTGACGACTGCAGGAATGAAGTCTTCCGCGGCGGGAGCTTCAACTTCCTTTTCGGCGACCTCGGGGACAGATTCCTCAACAGACTCGTGGACGGGCACAGCGATAGGCTCCTCGACAGCTGCTGCAGGTGTCGGCTCAACCTCGTTGATGGTCTTCTCGATCGGGGTCTCCTCAACAACCGGTGCTTCCTTAGGCTCGTCAGCAACAACTACTGCAGCCACCTCGGAAAGTGTCTCCTCAATGGGAGTTTCTTCGACAACAGGAGCCTCCTTAGGTTCTTCCTGAGACTTCTCGGTTGTGACTTCTGGAGCAGCGCTCTC